TGCAAAACAGGATGGTTAACTTTTAATCAGCACCCCAAGAATATTCAGGAGAAAAGAGAAGTCTCCCTTTTATAATTTTTATTTATTTATTTATTTATTTCCTGCAATGATGATAGTAAAAGAGATGTCAGGATGCTATGGGCATTTTGGTATTTATCTTTCAAAAATGCTGCAAGAGAAGTTGAAATCTGGGTAATCTAAGTTTTCTAGTTTTTTTTTTGTTTTGTTTTGTTTTATTTTTCACTATAATAGATGATTTCATCAGTTCCTAACACACTGAATAAACACAGTCAAAAAACTTACAGATTGCTTACAAGGTCTATAGGATTTCCAAGGAGAGCAGTGGTAATTCTGAATCACACAAAAGTAGCTCAAATCCAGCACTCAGCAGCAAGGCTAGGAAACTTATGGTAAAATAGTGGAAGTGTTATTATACAAATTAAGTATCATTTTTCTATTCCTGTACTTCATGCATACTTACATATCTTAATTTATTATTCATTGCAGCTACTTTTTGGCTATCTGTCTCCATGCTAGGAGTTTCCGTTTCGATTACTGATGAAAATAAACAGATTTTTTTGCAACTTAGGCTGACTGAAAGCTGTTGGAAAAGCAGTAGCTGCACAAGTAGTGGGTGGCAGCTGGAAAGGCTCAATGCCTCACAGAAAAGCAGAATCGGTCAAGAATGGCCTTTCTTCAGGACCAAAGGCAAAGCCTCTGACAAGCTGCGGCACAGACACCATGACACGAGGCCACACGATCACCAGGAGGCCACACAGTCACCAGGATAAGTTAGCCTATGTAAGTGTTCAGGTACATGGAGCTACATGCAGCTTGGACACCAGTGGAAACTGAACTGCTTTGGATATGTTTGGAGTATAATCCTTATGCCCGATAAATACATTCTGAGTTGCCCTTTACTAAAACAAATACAACTAAAAATCCATTCCACTGAACAGGAGCATGCAAGAACCTAAGCTCTGACAGGTTAAAATGACATAGAGAGCTCGTTATCTGCCCCTTCATGCAGAACTGATAACAAAATTTGGACCAACTTTGATAGCAAAGAGTCAGAGCCAAAGATGGTAACAAAACTTTCACCAACATTATCACAAGGAGGAGAGGCATTTGACAACATCAGTACGATAGAATAAATAAAATAGGCATATCTCAGGCTGAAAATATGAAAATATGAAAGATGCAACAGCATTTAATCCTTCGTTCCGCAAAAAAACTCACAACCCAATCTCCCTTTCTCTAAAACATGACGGGGACTGAAATCAGTTCCCAAACTTGTAAGTCACACACGTGCACACACACACTCGTACAAACAGTTCAGGAGAGTGAGGAAAAACATGTCACACTGCTCAAGGTTAAACCTCATGGCTCCTGACAACATTCACCCTTTCCAGCCTTTGCCACTCCTGGAGGAGCGAAACATCCTCCAGATGCTCACTCACAGGCGGTCACTGCACACTCAGGCCCAAAGAAAGGTTCAGGATTTTGCTTGCTAGATTTGCTCTGATGGGCTCAATCATCCAGACAGTGCCTGCGTTACAGCTCTCTGTAGACTCAGCACCCTGCCACGCAAGGGGAAGTCATGGCACCTCAGCTGCTACTGATCCCCTTGTGCATCCACCTTTCTGTACCAGGCACTGGATTCTGCCTGAGATCAAAGGCTGCCACACACTGCTGTATGGTACTCTTATATAGCCGGTTGCCTGGTGCCCCAGCACCCTGAAAGATTTACAAAGCATGGACAAGATGGCCAAGAGGTTACGCAACATGACATGGGCTCAAGCAAAAATAAAGGCACACTGGCAGGCTTAAATAGGAGAAAACAAGAATTCAGGTTAAGGATGACCAGCTGTGAAGGAAGGGGCTCAAATCTGACAGAAACTAATGGTAAACATTTAAAAATAAAGAAAAAAAAAATACAAAAGGCCGCAGCCCTGCCCTGGGGCCCTGCCACTGCTCTGCTCTCAGCTGCCAGCCCCCAGCCTTGGATCAGCGCTCAGCAAAACCTCCTGCTGCTGCTTCTGTGCCAAGGCAGGCAGCACCGAGCTCCCAGGCTAGGAAGCGTTTTGTAACCAGTTCCTCCTGCCTCTGTTTTTGTAGGCCACAAGTGTGCTCAGCCTGTCAACACACGCTGCTCTCTAGGATACTGCTTTTCAGTGGGGTTATGCCCGATTCCCTCCACCCCACAGAGTGACCGTGTTTGTAGCTTGATAGGTTGTGGGGCAGGGGGAAATGTTGCTTTTCAGACGGTGCTTTCTTTTTGAAAATATTTGAAAAAGTTTGAAAAATAAAGGTATCGATGTCTAACAACAACTCAAATCTCAATATGGTAAAGAATTTACCAGAAAAGACCACATCATTAGGACCTGCTTAATTGCACAAGTAAAGAGGAAGGGACAGGAGCAAACACCACTCCTGCCCAAAGGACACAGAGACACCTATGTTGTGGCTTAAACCTATAAACTGATTATAGGCAGGAGTTAGGATCTTCCTCCACTTCATCCAATAAACCTACACCTCATAACATCATACAGTTACAGCAGTAACACCTCCTTCCCTACAATTAATCACATTCACATTATTCAGGTTGGCCCTCACACACATCCTCAAATAGAGGGGTCATTATAGCAGGGAAGGTTTGCCACTGAAGCAGTAAAAAAAATTAAAAAAAAAAATGTGTGGAAAGAAAAAAGCAAGAAAATTCAAAGGCATTTAGGGCACTGTGAACATTCTGTTCCATGCTAATATTAGTGGCAATACGGTGTAGAATTACACTACTAGCCTCAAACATCTCAGCAGATCAGAAATATGAATTATTTATCACAGATGGAGAACAGAGGAGGTGCCCATTTTCTGCACTGGCTTCCTATCCCCTGGCTTCTTTCCCCCCTCATTAGAAGTGATATTAGCAACTCTAAATGATAATGACAAATGTAATTTTTTCTTTGTTTTTACCTAACTTTAATCAATTTGGTGGTACCATTCCATGCCAGCTATTTTTTCCAGACTGACAGGATCAATCACAATGAGTCAATGAATTGTTTCAAAGAACAAAAGGCAGAGGGTGAAGAGACTGCTTTGACCCTGTTAAAGTCTGAAGACCTCCAATGTTCTGCCTTCCCCACATTTGTATCCATCAAGCCAACACCTGGCCACGATGCTTGGGTTCAAGGATATTCCTCCTCTCAGTCTCCACACTAAAGCATGCCCAAGCTATGGTGATATCTGTGAACTCTTTGAGAAGGAGAAATAAGTCACATGTGACTCACAGAGTTGCTAAAAATCTGTGACAGATTGGTCATCACAACCTAAGTCCAGAGTGGCCATGTTTCAGCTTTGCACAAGCGGGTCTTACATGCAAATGCAGTATATCACATGAGCTTCAGACCACTCTCTGGCAGCAGAAAGACTCTCTTCAATCCTCTCAGTAATTTTCCTGCTGGGTCCACTGATTATAAAGCCAAAGAGAGAACTATTATTTTATATTCCAATTACCTGCATGACGAAGGTGACCACATTTCCCCAAATTCCCATTTGGCCATAGCTCTACTAAATTAAATCATTCTTAAATATTTTCCAGAGACAAAGAATTCAAAGCACTTAGTATACCAAGTCAATTAGTCTTAAAAGCGCACACCTTATTTTGGCTAAAATTCATCTAACTGTATTCTAAGAACGCCAAACAGAGTGTTTACACTCTACGTACACATAATCTTTTACTTCTCCTCATTATTCATGACAGTCCCAAAGCAAATTTACAGCAAGGTTTTAAAAATAGCATTAATAATCTTAGGGGCAGTATTGAGACCCTAATTAAGATAGTATATGAAAGTTTCCTGCTAGTGAGATGACAGATTTAAACTATGCAGTCACAAAACTCCTTTAGGAATTTTGTTTAACACCACAATTTGGGAAATATAGTTGTCATTCCTGCTTCCCCACAAGGTATTGAGACATCATGGCAGGTATTTGGCTATCTTGGTGTGTGCTGTTGAGTCACGTTTAGGACCCAGCTGCTCAGGGGACACTGCAATTCACACCTTGGCCCCACAGATGCATGCTTTCACCACTTCACAAAGTGCTTTCCAAGATGACAAGTGAGGGTCCCAGGAAAGGAGGAGTCTTCAGACAAGCTTTGCTTAGGTGACCTTCCTCACTTCACGCAGAACCTCCTCAGCAGCAGCAAGAGTAGGATCCCATTTCTGATGAACGGTGTAGCTGTTTTAGCACTGAGAGCGAACTCTCAGTCAGCATTGCTCACTGTTCACTGCTCACTTCTGTAACAACACAGGCTGCGTTTATCAACCTCATTTTTCTCCTACAGCCCAGATTTATCTGCAGGGTAAATCCACCCTGTATGCCAAAGCTGCAGGGATCAAAGCCCATCTCTGAACGGACTCCTCCAGAATCCTCTCATTAGGCATGTCAAGAACTGACACTTCTTACTGACTCTTTTGGAGTTGTAAGAATTCAGCCTGCCATCAGTTAGGCCTACAGTTTTCTGGGAGCAGTGAATTAAGGAAGCCCAAGCAAGAAATAAAATGTGAGAATTATGACCCCCTATTTTGTATTATCAGTCATGAACAGGAATTTTGCTTTAATGCATTGACCTTGAGAAGCCACACAAGATATATTACAGTTGAACTGGATATTAACCACAGCCTCTCCCTCTGCTCTGAGCAAAAAAGGAAAAGACAGTCCCAACTTCTCAGTAAGAGTTAAACCTTCATTCAACTTAGATTAAACATTGCTCCCTTCAGATGTTAATATACATCACTGACATTTTCTTTCCTTAAAAAACACCACAAAGGCTTCTCACTTGAAACAATCTCCATTTAACAACACACATCCTAGTGAGTCCAGATTTAACTACACTGACAACTCATTATTGAAAGTGCTCATGTGCTCTCAGTGACCAAAGCTGCTCTGGCAGACTTCTCTCTCTGGGTTTATCATTAACATTTACATTCTCGAGCTGCTAAATAATTCAGTATAGCATTTAGCCTTGTGTCCTTGCCTGTCTACCCAGAAGCTGCTCTCACTGTTTACTGTATGAGCCAGCAGCAGGGAAGAAAAACCTGCCTGGATCCTCAGTGCTTCCACACACCCTGCAACTGAGAGGCAACTTTCACTCTTGACACAGAAGTTATTATTTATTTTTTTTGTTGGAAAAGTGTTTATTAGATACCTAAATATAGGCGGTTATTTATCCACATGGAGCCAGGACCATGTGGTCTCAGCTTCCCATGCAAATTCCCCTTTTAATACTCCTAATGCGGGGAGCTCTCCAATCAGAGCGCTATCAGCCACGGCGCCCTGATACCTGATGCCAGCTTTGCTGGTAATGTAGGCCACTGAAGCAAATCCAGGGAGATTGAGTTGGAAGTGGAGAGAGAATCAGAGATCTGCTTGCATGGCTTCCTGACGGGGGGTGGGGGTCTAATTTTTTTATTTATTTTTTTTTAATTTCCTCGGTGCTGTAAAGGAGAGATACAATTTCCAGGCGATCATTAGCTGAGAGCAGCCCAGCTGGGTTGAGGCTGGGAGGCGGGGACGCGGTGGCAAGCAGCGAAGCAAGGTGGAGGCACGAAGGCAGAAGACCAGGTGGATGAAAGCATGAGGTGGCTCTTGGGCAGCAACTGGAGGAAATTCGGACACGCAGACAGGGGGAACTACGACTGGCTAGACAATGAGCCAGGTGGGCCACTGCTGGAAACAGAGCTCCAGGTCTGTACCCTCCTGCTCGTGTTTGTGGCATATCCTTTGACTTTGCATGTGTGTGTGTGTTTGTACAGTGCCTCAGTGTACGTACATAGTTAATACATGGGTATCAAGCTGTATCAAAGCAGTAATGTGCAATTACATATCATCAAAGCATTTATTTATTGCTGTTAAGTTCTTTTCACCATAGATATGGTGAAAAAAAAATAAACATCAGAAGGAAAACCTTGCTGGAGTGTCAGTTAAAGAAGTTTTTGTCTTTTAAGCATAATGCATTCTGTTATTCCTTGATTTCTTTTCTTTTAAATACATGTTTACTCTTTGGATCTGGTCCCATGAAGCCTTTCTACAGACGTTTACAGTCCGTAGCAGGCGGCAATGAACTCTTGTTCTCTAAGCTGTGCGCTGATTACTTCTCAGAGAGAGGATCACAGGCAGGCAAGTGGGGGGAGGAGAGATGAAAACACAGCCTGCTTTTCTGTCTTCGGCTGGGATGCAGAGAAAGGGGTTCTCTGATGAGGAATAAAAATGTCAGGTTCACATATACCCCTAGTAAATGTCTGAGGCAAGTAGCACCAGCAAATAAACTGGCCATGCTACTTAGCATTCAAGTATACTGTTGTAAAAAGAAAGGGGGTAAGAGTGTTTTTTTTTGAATGCCTCTATGATTTTAATAGTCTACCTCATCACTAAGACTGCCAGAGTTTGAATGGCAACATCTTCATGCCCTGAAGCTGTTTTTGTCTGACGATGGGAAACACACAGCAGCACCAGCAGCACATTCTAACAAGTATTTGAAAATGCAGTTTAAGTCTAGGATCTCTTTAAAATTGTGTAGTTATTAATGGATACAAAAGCACATCAAAATGTTTTTCTGTTCTCCAAAGTTTAATGTTTTTGCTTTTTACAAGCAATAATGAATCATCTCTGAGAAGCAGAATGGAACGTAGGAAAGCACCTATGCATTGGCCGCAGCCTACTGACTTCAAAGGAGACTTTGCTCCAAATCCAGTTAAAACATTCAGAAGTTAAAACATTCCTGTTCCTTGATTCAACTTCAAACACCATATCAAAACTATTAGCATAAATATGGACTATATTTTAAAAGTCATGTAAATAAAGGTCTAAGTGCCCTAGCAAATCATTCACATAATAAATTCTAGCACCAAACAGCCACTTCAATGGGAATTTAAGCAAGCCAAGCAAGCTTTCCCCCCTCTCCCACTTATCCTTACACAAAAGCTTCCTTTAAACTCATGCTTTATTAGGTCATTCCCTTCTAAAGTAGGTACTAGGTTTCTTTTGTCTATACTAAAAGTTCAGTTCCAAAACCATTAAATTACTCATTATGGAAATGCCACACAACTCTGCACTCTCCATTTCATTCCTTTATCAACAGACATGAACAAAAGCTCATCTGAACTGATATGGGTCATGTAATCTGTAAGCTGGCGACTGTACATCCTCAGCATGGTAAAAAAAAAAAACAACAACAACAAAAAAAATGCAGGCAGACAGATTACTAATGAAAGGCTTTACTACTTCTAAAATACTGAACACATAGCAGAAAACTGACCCCTTGTTTCTGTCCTCACAAAGGTATAAATGAAAAGAATGATTATGCTGGGAAATAAGCCCCGATGGCCAAACCATCCTACTAAAAATCAGTTCTGGGAAAAGAGAGGACTTTTTAGAGACTTAATTCCTTTTACTGCTGCACACTTTTCTGCTTTCTCCTCTTTATACAGGCTGTTTTTCCTATGTTTGTGTGTCTGTAGCTTATCTCAGGCTGGAAGTCCAAGTCTTGTTTATGTCAATTAAAAAATCCACCATAGCTGCTCATGGTAACACAGGCAGAGCACACAGACCTCACCTGAAGCTATAGTATCAAAAGAAACCAGTCAAGGAAATGCTACAAAGTAATTCCCTAAGTCACTTAATATGTTTGTTTTGGAAACTTCCAGATGTTAAAATTTTACTTTTGATATGTACAGCAGTTGGTTAATTTGGTTACAGTTCTCAATTACTGAAGATTCAGTTTCATTTCTAGAGCACTTATTTTCCAGTACCTATAGCCACCAGCCCATTGTTTCTTTTGTAGCTTTAAAGCTTCAGAAAAGATGTTTGTTTAGTTTAATTATAGTTTTTGATATACATGTTCTTATGGCTATAAGATTTTCCAAGTGTTTATGTTAAGATCTTCATAACATTCTTCAGTAGCCCCATAGCCACTCTTCTCAGAAAAGGCACAAAAACAGAGCAGAAAAACAGTGACCAACAGTTGTCTCCCAGTACTTTTGATGTGTTTGGATATACCCACAAGACATCAGCTGCAGTAAATACTTCTTGTGCCACATCTCAATGTAAAAGCAGTTTATGTACAATGCTTGGCAGAAGATAATATCAAAGTGTACTGTAGGTCACCATGATTTATCCTTCAAGTTATGGGCATCAGCAAATTCGCATCTATTCCATCAGTCCCTCTTCTTTTTTCCTGCCATCCTGTGGATTCTCAACAACGGAGCCCCTGTGCTGAGACCACGTCTCAGACCAGGAAGCACCATGCAGCTGTAACACTAGGCTGTGCTTCCCCCAGCACGTGAAGGATATAGCAGTGGTCCTTGGCTATTGATTAAAATATAAGCTTCCTTCCAGTGAAACTCACTGGGATGTTGCACTGGGCTTAAAGGTGAGAGAATCGGGCTTCATATTCCTTTTACAGGTACTGCGCTGCTGGGTTAAAAACTGGCTAGATGGTCAGGCCCAGAGTGTGGTAGTGAATAGAGTGAAATCCAGTGGTGTTCCCCAGGGGTCGGTGCTGGGACTCATCCTTTTTATTGATGATTGGGATGAGGGAATGGAGTGCACCCTCAGATGAGGCCAAGCTGGGGGGAAGTGTCGATCTGCCAGAGGTTAGGAAGGCCCTGCAGAGGGACCTGGACAGGGTGGGTCATTGGGCAGAGGCCAATGGGGTGAGATTCAACATAGCTAAGTGCCGGGTCCTGCATTTTGGTCACAACAACCCCATGCAGCGCTACAGGCCTGGGGCAGGGTAGCTGGAAAGCTGTGCAGAGGAAAAGGATCTGGGGGTGTTGGTCAATGCTCACCTGAACATGAGCCGGCAGTGTGCCCAGGTGGCCAAGAAGGCCAAAGGCATCCTGGCTGGTATCAGGAATAGTGCAACCAGCAGGAGCAGGGAGGTGATCGTCCCCCTGTGCTCTTCTCTGGTGAGGCTGCACCTCAAGTGCTGTGTTCAGCTTTGGGCCCCTCACTACAAGAAGGACATCAAGGCCCTGGAGTGTGTACACAGAAGGGCTACGAAGCTGGTGCAGTCTCACCTTCTGTCCTCACACAATCCTTCCTTCATTTCTTCTGTGTACTGTTTTATGCACCTTCTAAGACCACAACCAACAAAAAAAGTAGCAAACTTGATAAGAAAAAATCTCATTTTATTAAATAATTTAATGTCTGCATTAGAGTAATAGATGAACATTTTCTTCCAACCCTGCTGTTTCTTGTAGCTCATTTAATGGTGAGGTAAGACAACTGCTTGTACTGCCAGAAACTCTTTAATAAGAAATGATCCGTAGGTACGAGACAATTCTTTAGTATGTATTTCTGTGGTTAAAAGACAGCTGAGGAAAAAAAGCTTAATAGTGAGTCCATGATATGTATTTCAATGTATTTTAAAATGACTTTAATGGGTTTGGCCTCAGACTCACAATACCTCAGGGGAAAAGAAATAAAAAGGAAAAAAAAAAAAAAAAAGCAGAAATTTCCTGTACACTATTTCTTTTGCTGTAAAGTAAAACTTACTTTTTTTTTCTTTTTTTTTTTTTTCCTTAAGCATGACCACATACTAATAATTTAATAATATGACTATGCAGTGGAGAGGTAACAAATGCACAGTAGGTAATCAGTTGAATATAGGTTACACTGATGTTGTAGCTAACAGAATGACCATGATTCTAATAAGCAGAGAAAGTATTAGTAGACTAAAAAAGGTGTATCAGTTACTGCCTTTTTTTTTTCCTTCCTCCATCCCCCCCCCCCCCCCCAAGAAGCATTGCTGCAAACAGCCTATTATATTCCTGTTCCAAGTAGTCTGAGGAAAAAAACACTAGAATTTTCCTGGTTTGAAAATAACCACCTTCATTAAAAAATAAATCTGACACATTGATCTATTTAGTCTCACCATGACAATGTGAAAAAGCAATCTGATTACTCTTTGTGTACTCACAAAGGGAACGATTGATAGTAAGTGACATTTTAGGTTTTCTTCCCTACTCTAAACTAAACTGTGAATGAGATCCAGTTATTAGGAGCTAGAGCAAATTAAATGGGAAAGTTTATTATATTAACATTTGAAAATTAAACTAACACAGCCTGAAGTGCTCAAATGTTATAAAAAACAACAACAAAACTAGCTTGTAACTCCTATTAATACTACAGCACAATTCAGCAGCTGTAGGACAGAGGTCGTTTGTGCTGTATTATGCAGGAGATAAAGCTGACAAGCCAGTCACAGCTGCTACCAAGATTCCTAGAAGTTCTTTTTCCACAGTTTTAAACAGGGAAACTGGTTCTTGGATAGCTGGCAGAACAAGTACAAGAAAGGGCCCCAGTCCAGGCTGTCCTGACAAACCAAGTATTATTTGGGGCTGGCCTGTAAGAATATAGCAGCCAAACAACAGGTATGGCAGGCAGTAGGTCCTGATGAAAGGGGAAGTTGTCACAATATTTGTTTGTTAAACAGTACAATTTTCCAAATAGGAAGAAACAACAGTAGACAGTGGATCACTAGCCCTACTCTGCAATTCAGTGTTGTCTCAAGTTTTAAAAGTTTAACCTCTCTTCCAAAGAGGACTAGTCCCAGCATAATTCCAGAGGAATAAAGACATACACCAAAATACATATAGTTCCAGCCTGTTGTTCCCCTTCCCAAGGAGGTGGGTTTCCTCAACTTCATTTTATTTGTGTCTAGTTGTCACAGTATTTTGTTTTAATGGGCAAATAAAAATTGACAGATCACTAGCCTGCAAAACATATTGGTGAGTGTCACTAATACAGGCAGAAAATAACTTGGGAGTGTATCAGCTAGGTCACTGCAGGGGGGGGTGGAGGTTGTATTTTATATTAAGGGGTCTCCAGGAACCTAGTGCGCTATCTATTTTCTTTACTTACAGAGCAGACAGCAGAAAAGTTCAACCAAAGAAGACATAGAGCCGTTTCTGTGCATCATATTGCCTGCCACCATGATGCTCTTCCTGGCATTCCTGCTGCTCTTCCTGTACCGCCGCTGCCAGCGCCCCACCCCGCAGGGGCAGATCTTCAGCATCGACCTCCCCGAGGCCCTGCCGGAGCACGAGGTGCCCAATTTCCTTTCCGTGCTGCCCTGGACCAGTGAACAGAGTTTCCACTACTCCACTCTGGTCCCTGATGCCACGTTCCTCTCTGTGTGTTTGCCTCCATCGTACGAGGAGGCCACCATGAAGACTAGCCAGGACGAGGCTCACATTGAGCTCTCTACAGATCCAGTGCCTCCTTATGAAGAGAGCACGGCACATCCAGCAGCACCAAATAAACTTCCTACGGAAGCACCTTAGCCAAAGCACTGCAACCCCTCATGGTACAAACAGGGATCTGCTATGGCCTTTAAAATTAGCAAAAAAAATTCCAAATGAGCCAAAGCCAGTGAATTATGAAGGAAGAAACTTTGAATAACAGGGAATGAGCCTTTTCACCTCACTGTAGGATTCTCTATCTTCCATTTGTAGCAAGGCTACATGTACAGTGTGACACCAAATCGGTTCTAGGCTGTTAATGTTGGAATTTGAGAAAACCGAGTATGTCATGCAAGGATTAAACTTACAGATGAGAATGTGCCCACCTGAAATCCCTCAGCTGCCAAGAAACATAACACTGATGGTTGGACTTCATGATCTTGAACGTCTTTCCCAGCCTAGATGATTCTATGATAAGTTATGCTACAGATTCAGCAGTCACAAAAAGGGCTCTTAGCATGAATCTATTCCAGTTTGCTTTTTTTTCTACTTCATTTGTTTATTTTTAATTGAATTTCTGACAAGCTGATTTACTTAATCAACATGTATAAACATTGCATATCATTCTGCAGTGCTTTGAAATGAACACAGCTCTCAGGAAAGCAAATAAATCTTTAAAAAAAAAAAGATTCCAGGAACTGTCCCCACAAGTTCAACTATGGACTGTTGTTAAAGGCTGTCTTTTACTACAGTTGAACGATGAGAATGGCCAGAGAAGACCTGATCATTCTGGGTGAGGAAGACTCCAGCACCATCACACAAGAGCACACCCACACTGTTGCTGCAAGCCAAGGTCTGCAAGGTCCTGAAGTTCTAGACTACTGACTTGACTTATTTTTCAATTTACATGTCTAAAACAGTAAACCTGGTGACCTTTTAGGTACAATGTGTAAGAGAATTGGGGAAAAAATAAAATCAAATGCACAAGAAAAAAATCTGGTTTCTATTTCAAAACAGCATTATACTCACTTCTTGACCACTAGAGTAATGTATCATTCAGATGCGTTGGTGCCAGTTCTGTTTCTCATGAGCTTGCACATGCTTTCTTTAAGGCAGTGGCATATCTTTAACTCTTTCTTACAGGATAGCACTTTCACTATGCTGACAGATGCTCTTGTTCTGAGCATCTGGAAGGTGGCTATAATGAAACCTGAAATTTTTATGTGTTTTGACAGCTTCTTCCTTGCAGGTGTGAGCTATTCTATGACACTACAATTATCTATGGCTTAACAACATATATATGACCATGTGCAGTCTTGGTACAACTCCTAAAACAGAAGCTGTTTTGACTTGCACTGTGTGATTGTAGTAACTTTCACAGGTTGTCAGTATGAGCTAGTGTAGAAGTCATCCTGCTTTGTGAATGTACTACCTTTTTTTTTTTTCCTCTTAATGTAACAATAGGTAGTTAAGTTTCATGTTGCTATGTCAAGAGTGGCACAAATCATACCACCAAATAGTCCAGGTCAAAACTGATGATACTCATATGGTTCTCTTAAAATAAGGAAAAAAAAAAACAACCACGCTCTGCCCTTTGTAATTCAGAAATGGCACCATTTTTTTAAATTAAATTTTTGAGATCTTTTCCTTTTCTAATGCCTACTTTTGGTTACCAGACAGTGAGAACAGCAGCAGCTATTGGTTTGGATAAATGCAAGTGCAACCAACCATTTTTCTTTTCAGACCATATCTGGGATGAGTTCCTAGTATTCACTAATGCATTTGAACGTACTGCATTGGACTGTCTCCTTGCATTTTGTTTTCCTCCTTAATACTTGGTACATGCAGTTGTTGCCAGCTACATGGAAAGCAGAGTACCAAACAACATATACTTGCTAATTAGCAAGGTAAAAAGGTTTAAGGCTCAAAAAGAATCATTTCTGCCTCTTGTGTCTCAATACTCCACTATCTCCAAAAGAATTGTACAGGTATGCTTGACAAGTTTGCCTTCATTGCATCAAATTTAGTGTACTTTGCCTTAAAACATCTGCTACGTTCTGAAATTAGTTACACTGTTCTTCAGCAGAAGTTCTTGATTATTATTAGTGTCTGAAACCCAGCCCCAGGTTCATTATTCTAAATTGCTCTCCAGTTATCTTGGTTACAATTCAGATAACTTCTTCGGTGCTGTTTCTTGTGATCAGGACCAACATACTTCTAGAACTAGTCAGGAATGGTGAGTGTTCGTCTCTCACATAGTATTTATCAGGAAACTCTCAAATCCTACTGTAGACAAATAGTTTCTGTTTGTTAGCTGTACTATAGGCAATAAGAACAGGTACTTGCTCAAATCCAAATTAGCAACAATACTGCCATGTTTTCAATTGTTTTTTCTAATAGACTCCTTCCCCACCCCCCCATCTATAATTGGTGTCCCTTACTTCATTCCAACACAGTTTTGTCTGGTATTGCACGTTAATTGTCCCTGGTAGGTTTTAACCCAAGCATCACCTCACTCAAATCTCCACTCCAAAGAAAAAAAAAATCCAGTAAAGCAAAATATAAATTATAAAATAATAATAAGAAGAAGATCTCGTGCAAACATTGTGAAATATTGATCTCCATTGCCTAGCAGCTACCACTGATCATATCAGCCTGTGATGACATACCGGGCAGTAACCATAAAACTACTGTTATTAGTGCTATTGGTGGCTGACCAGTTACAAGGTCCTTTGAAGCAAACGTAGCTCACAGTCTACAAAGACATCATATCCAGCTCCACAGACCTGAAAGGTGAAGGTTTAGAGCACACCAATGTAGTGGGTTTACGTGGCAAGGTTTTGGTAGCAGGGGGCCATAGGGGTGGTTTCTGTGAGAAGGATCTAGAAGCTGCCCCATGTTTGGTAAGGGCCCCACTGCTGACCAGAGCTAAGCCAATAAGCGATGTTGTTTTGCGCCTCTGTGAGAGCATATTTAAGACAGGGAAAAAAACACTGTGCCACACAGCAGCTGGGACAGTGAGAGGAGTGAGGAACAGGCCTTGCAGGCACCAAGGTCAGTGTAGAAGGAGGGGGAGAGGTGCTCCAGGCGCCAGAGCAGAAGTCCCCTGCAGCCTTGTGGTGAGGACCATGGTGAAGCAGGATGTCCCCCTGAAGCCCATGGAGTACCACGGTGGAGCAGGGTTCCACGCTGCAGCCCGTGGAGGAGACCACGGTGGAGCAGGTGGCCCTGCACCGATGGAGGCTGCCGCCTGTGGAAGACCCCTGCCAGAGCAGATTCCGGGCCGGACCTGTAGCCCGTGGAGAGGAGCCCACGCAGGAGCAGGTGACCTGGCAGGAGCTGCTGCCCGTATGGGGCCAGGTTGGAGCAGTTTTCTCCTGAGGGAATGGACCCCGTGGTACGGACCCATATCTGGAGCAGCTCTGGAAGAGCTGCTGCCTGTGGGAAGCCCACGCTGGATCAGTTCATCAAGGACTGCATCCCGTGGGTGGGACCCCACAGCACAGGGGATGAGAGTGACCGAGAAGGAGCGGCAGAGAAGCGCTGTAGACTGACCATAACCCCCATTCCCCCGTTCCCCTGCGCCGCTCGGAGGGAGGAGGTGGAAGAGGGTGGATGGGGTGGGAAGGTGCTTTTGGTTTCTTTCCTTTGTTTCTCACTTCTCTAGCTTGTTAGTAATGAGCAATAAATCTACTCTACTATGCTGAGTCTGTTTTGCCAGTTGCAATAATTACTGTGTGATCTTCTTCTCCTTATCTCAGCCTCTGAGCCCTTTTCATCATATTTTCTCCCCGTTCCTCTTTGAGGAGGGGGAGTGAGAGAGCGCCTGTGGTGGCGCTCGGCTGCCCACTCGAGCGGAACCACGACAAGTAGCCACAAAGCTAAATCCTCAGCAAAGCACCAGCCCTGGAAAGGAACTGAAAAATTGTTTCCTGGGCTTTGTTCAAGTCTCGGCTGCTCTACTGCAACTTCCAGCAACAGGGCCTCTTCTGCTAGCAGCAAGGGGACGGTGGGACAGCTATCCTAGCAGTAGTGGGCTGAAAGTACTATTTACATTGACACCCGTCAGCATGCCTAAGCAGATCTCCTGGTCACCTTGGAAAACACTGGAGCTGTGGCAAATAAATAAAGCAGGTAAAATGCTCCAACACCAGCCAGCCATGAAAGGCTTTGGGCTCCCCTTGTAACCCCCATCTACAGAGCAGAGGTGGCTGCACGCACTCGGGGCATCCTGCAGAGGCTCCATGACAGAGGTAACTGCCCCATCATCTCTAATTACAAGGCCTGAAGAAACTCAAAGATTGAAAGCTTAAAAGTATCTGCAGACATCAATCTTTCCAAAAGAGATGTCGAAAAAAAGGCGAAGCTAAATATAAGTTTTAGCAGCAGAACTGCTTTAACAGCTACTGTAGGTCTAGTGAGACTGTTAAGGAAAGATGGAAAGCACGTGGATTAAATTTGTTGGTATAAATCTGGAGACACCAGTTTAGCTACAGAAAACACCAAGTCTTTGGAAATCCAAAAAAGATAGTATTTTAGTACAGAAAAATGGGAAAAAGAGGAGGAAACTAGAAATAGGATCTCAAAAAGCAGATGCCTGCCTTATTCCATATGTATTTGTGGGCTCAATTTTCCCCTTGCAGAAATCAAATAGGTGTAAGAGGACAAAACCAGGTACTTCAAGGTGGAGAAGTAAACTGCTACTGCCAGGGAGCTGGTAGGACAAATGGTGTTCTCTTTTACCAAGAAATTACACTGTACAGTGCTATGACAAAGGAAATTTGTCTTCTCAGACAGTTCCTGCTTGGGTTCTCATCAGCTGACAATGTTTCCAGGGGAGCCAGAGGACAAAATACAGCCCAAATTCTGAGGACAAAACCTAAAACGCAGCAAATCTCATGCACGACATTAAAAGATTCTTAATGAATAGTATGAAGCAATTCCACAAATAAATGCAGCAGCTGGTAATTGCTAGGAGTTACTCAGGCTGACCAGATATTCTTGGACCCTTATTACTAGAAATATCAGAATGGCTGTTGCATGTCTAAATCATAAATACTGCAGCTCAGCAAAATACTTGAGTGCGTGCTCCACTCTCAGTGAACTGGAGCCGAGACCAGCCAACAACCTGTTAGAGGCAGCTTACGCCTTAACATCGCTCAGTTCTGTGACAAACAGCACACCAACTTCTGGAACATACAAGAACTGGAACAACAACTCAGAAATTCACATTAAAATGTGTATATAAGTAGTAAAATTGGATTTGAATATATGTTTCTCAGTTAATCATTGTGATATATTCTCATCTTGTTTTTCCTTTGTATGCTATTATTTGTCACTCTTCAATCAAGAGAGTCCCCTTTCTACTTTCTAAACCAGAAAATTCCCTTTGAATTTTTTACAGGAAAAAAAAAAAAAAAAAAAACACATGCCAAACCCTCCCCATACTCAGAAGCTGCCCCCTTTTTTTTAAAGCCAAATAAAAGTGTTGTCACTGTCCACGAAGAGCGTAGGCTGCTACAAACACCTCTGGCCCAAAAGCCGGGCCTTTGGATAACACCTGAGGGCTGAACCCAAGGTGGAGCTGCTGTGGGGGCTGCCCCACTGCTGGAAATCAAGAGAGAACCATGCTTCCTACCTGGGAAATTAAGTGCCTCTCAGAGCTTTGCTGCACATTGCTCACACGCACCAGCCTTGCCATGGCTGGCCATCACAGCTCACTTTAGGCCAACTTCTTCCTAGTCAGCCTGGCTACCTCCTGCTTACAAACCCGACTGCCAGAAACAAACTGGGACTGATTCAAAACAAAAGCCCAGGGGACGCTACTTTTGCACAGTCATGCTCCTGACTCTTGTAGGAGGTGCATCCAGAGATGCCCCATGCACTGAAACTCAGCCATGCACAGCTGGAGGCATTCACAGAGGTGCGCTCCTGGTTTCTGCTCGAGGAGAGGAAGAGGGATTAGAAAAAAAAAAAAAAAGAAAAAA